CCAAATCGGTCCAAAGCTCCTCTCAAACATGGCCAGGTAATTTCCTTCGTCTCCCTGTACGTGCGCCTCAACCACTGCCACTACTGGTCATCTCTCTTTCGAGGTGGAAGGAAGCCAATGAAACTTTGTGAACTTGGGCAGTGTTCTGTTGCTTGAAGAATCATTCGACTCAAATGAACCCATTCAATTAGGTCATTGCCGTAATAAGTAGGAAACTCGAGCTTAGCCAATTTGGAGCAGAATAGCTGTCGACCCCCGTCTGTCCTCTCGGCGTCGTCATCTCTGTTCAGCCGCATGTGGCCAATTTGGCTCATAGTATTACTGTTGGAGCCTTCTCGATTCAGCACCAAAGTTTCCATTAGTTGCTTCAGCGTTTCCTCAATCTGGTGGAATTTATCAGTCATGTCGACCTCTATTCTGGACAAACTATGGTGACACTGACCTCCAAATTTTCAATCCTCTCTTTGTTAGATGCCATGATTAGTCTGCTATGATACCAACTCATAGGTTCCAATTAGAACAATTGAAAATTTTAGTTAAAGTTTCTGCTTTGGGGTGCAGAAGGAACCTCTATATTTTTTGCTAATGAAAGTCGACTCCTTTATTGATTGTGCAGAAAATATATACACATGAAGGGATAATAATGCTTCCTACAGTTTAGCAACTACACTGAAAATTAGCAAAGAAAAAGGGAGACCAAGTCTCCACTAATGGCTATTTGATCCCATCAGATTTCCCTCCCACCTTTTCCATATTTTCCACGTTCACTGGGTTTATCAAAATCGAGCTCACATAAAATTATTGCTTTTAATCTGTTTCAACTCTTAAATCGCCTATAACTAAGTCATTTAATCAGAAGCTAGATGATGAAATCCTAAACAAAAAAATGCACCTTCGAGGACAATTCATTACCCAATATCTCACGGAAGGAAAGAAAATTCAGCTGACTAAAAGAAAAAACAGATGCAGATAATACCACAAATTCATATTACCTCAGCATTACGGATTGTCCCATCAGCCAGTTTACCAACAGCCTGCAAATTCCCATCAGCACCAACCGCATCAGGAGCCGCTTTCATTGTTTGTTCCTCAACCGGTTTCCCAGAGCAATCTTCACCGTCCAACCTGCCTTCTTTATCTCTTCTTCCTCTTTCTTGATCATGATCATTGACCTGACCTTCCCCAGGGTGTATTGCAGCATCAGGGTCAGTTTTTAGCTCCAACTGAATAGGAGAAGGCTGAATTTGGGGTGAAGTGGGCTGTTCGATTAGGGTGGGGTTAGCGTTAGAATTAGGGATAGGATTGGGGGAGCGGAGGCAAGAGAGAGCTCTGTTACGGCGAGAAAGGAGGGATTTGAAGTCCTTGACAGAGATTTTAGGGTTTGGCATAAGCCATTGACGAGGAACGTCTGGGACTCTATGAAGATTCCCTCTGTACAGAGATATTGCCACCATTCTCTCTCAATTTCTCTTCCTTGGAACACCACCAACACTGCCCACCATCGTCTGCGTAAAAACGGCAAAAGGATTCTTCATGAAACTGAAACGGCACCGTTTGGTAAATCTTTTATTTTATTTTATTTTATTTTTAATTCTTAAAAAGTTTTCTGAATCCTCATTTTATTTCTAGGACATGGTATAATAAAAAAAACTTTTTTTTAATAATTTTATTTTTAGATTAAATTCCATGTTTTTGGCAGTAACTCAAGCAAGTTCATGCAGGATATCTATAATTTTGCTTGTAATTATTATTTTTTCCTTATTTGCTCTTATTTTTAATGAGTTCATTTATTTAATTCAGATAAAAAATGAACCGGTTGAGATACATATCTAGATATGATATATATATATATATATACACGTAATAATGATTTTTTTACCAATAATATTGATTAATGCATTACTTGTTTTATAAAAAAAATTGTAAATTCTAAGAAATGAGTTGAGATATATATATCTATATATGATATATACATATATGCAGTAATCATTATTTTACTAATAATTGTTTGTACTTATGTTGATTGATTATTATATCTCTTTTTTTATAAAAATAATTTATAGGTTTTTATATATTTTTATTAAAAATTTATCTAAAAAATTATTTTATTTATAATTTAATAAAATAAATCTTAACAATAGTTCAAAAGAGTTAATATTGTGGAAGTGGTAAGAATATGCTTTAAATTATTGAGAATAATAATTTGGTTTGATTATTATAATAAATATTTTAGATTAAAATTCTAAATATGCAACCTTGACAAAATTATTAGAATTCTGAAGTGGATATATTCCGTAAGTGTAATTTATTGAGTTTATAATTTTGTTTAGACAAAAAAATGAAATGAATCAATTATATATTTATGAGATCAAATTTACATACTTTTTTCTTTCATAACATCAAAAAATTAAGGGCAAATTTGCAAACATAAGTTATAATATAATTGAACCAAAAATAAGTTTGCTTAAATGAATTTGATAAGTTAAATATTTTACATATATAGAGAAAATAATATTTATGTATCAATTAGTTTACTGATACTATTATATTTTTACTGTATTTTATTGATTGGTGAGTCTCGTAAATATTCACATGTTAATTCAATGAATACTAGCTATTGCGTTAGTTATTGCTCTGATTATTATTTTTAATACAAATTTATGTATTATTTAATAAAATAATTTATATATATTAATTATGATATGATATAAATAATTTTAAAAGTATAGACTAACTTTAATTTATCATTTCTTGTGGAAGAATAGACGTAACAAGCATATACTTAGCATAGAAGTCTTAATTTATTACAAATATTATTAACTTGCTAATGTTTATATATTTATGAGATCCAATTTTAAATATTTTTTTCTTCAAAGCATCAAATAATTAAGGGAGATCAAGTTTGCAAATATATGTTATTATATAATTGAACAAAAAATAACTTTGCTTAAATGAATTTGATAACCTAAATCTTTTTCATATATCGAAAAGACAAGACTTAGGTATCCATTATCTTAATAAGCTGATCACATTCTTATTAAATTTCCTTGCTTGGTAATCTTTCATGAAGAGCTCCACCTATTGTGTTATTAAACACTAGCAGTTATGTTGGTTACTGCTCTTTTTTTATTATTTTTTTTAATAAATTTATATATTTTTAATAAAAATTAATATATACATTAATTATAATATAGTCAAACTTAAAATTTATTATCTCTTATGAAAAAATAGAGATACTCAGCATATACTTAAAATAGAAGTCTTAATTTATTACAAACATTATTAGCTTGCTGACATTTATATATATATATATATATATATATATATAGTAGGTTGATGTAAGTACATGATCAATTACAGAAGGGTCCATCCGAAAGGTCAGGAAATAACAAGTACATGTCATTTTCTCCATCTAACATGGCTTCCACAAAACTTTGATGATCAACCGATGAGGAACCATGAAACTTCTCGTTTACACCTGTTGTTTTCTCTTTCCCCTCAACTTCTCCATTATCGCTAATCATCTCCCCGCAACTTTCCACATTACCATGACTGATCTTTGCAGGCATCACGTGATTTTTTTCACTCACCAACTCCATTGAAGAAAGCTCCATTAACAATTCCTCACCTTGCAGCTCTCCTTCTCGTTGATGATCCGGGGCCCGTAAAAGCTCATCATCAAGAAGGAAATCACTCCAACTGAAACCTACTGCTGTGGATTTCTCTTGTCCCGCTGTGGAACAAGTAGAAGAAGAAGATGATGATGATGAAGATGTGATAGTTTCATGGTTAGGCGTCCAGCCAGAGACCTGTGTGACTAGGTTTATAGCATGCAACTGAGAAAGAAGATGAGTTGAGTTGGTATGTTGGTTTTCCATGACTGGTTCTGGTTTTGGTGAAAGAAGCAAATTTCTTGTTTTGAGAATGTTAGGGTTTATGTTTGAAAATGGGTATTTGTAATTTTCATGAGATTTTGTCATGTTGAAGTTAACATTCTTGTTGAGGTCTGTGTTGAGAGAACTAATTAATCTAGTTGCAGGAGAGGGTTTCTGGAGACCTCCAATGTTGCCATAGTCAGCTAGGATTTGAGAAAAAGGTTTATGTGTAACTGGGTCAATTCCCATGTCGGTGAGCTTCTTTTTCAGTTTCGTGTTCCAATAGTTTTTCACGTCGTTATCTGTTCTTCCTGAAAGCTGTTGGGCTATAATAGACCACCTGCACCATAAAGTTCATTCATGAATAATTGATTCAATCAATTATTTAAAATGATTTTAAGTTCTTATAACTCATTTTGATCAGAAATTTAATTTCTTATTACTATTGTGATTGAAAAACTATATACGGATGAAAAAATAATTTAAAATTAAATCAAAGTTAGAGATCTAGTATTTGAATTCTAGATATCTGCTTTCGTTAAAATTTTAATTACTCACTTGATCCACACGCTTACTACTAGTTATTGCAAAACTAATACGTGAGCAAAAAGATTATGTGGTCAATTTGAAGGTTCGGAAATTGTCACAAATAATTTGAAGAAGAAATACAGAAAAGAAAAAAATAACTCAAATATTTGTGTATATATATATAAATATCTAAAATAGTTACCTGCTGCCAATAGCTGCATGAAGGTTAACAATCAATTCCTCTTCCTGGGGTGTGAAGCTCTCATGTTTAAGATCTGGTCTCAAGTAATTAGTCCACCTGAGTCTGCAACTCTTCCCACATCTCCGAAGTCCTGGAGATCAATCAATATATATATATATATGCTCAAATGTGATGATAATCCATTAATTCATATCAAGAATAATAAATTGCAGTTAACACAAATTATTTCTGAATTTTTCTGAAATTATAGATTAACCTGCTTTTTTAGGAACACTAGTCCAGTTACCGGTTCCATGTTTGGATACATAGGCAAGTATCTTTGCATCTTCTTCAGCAGTCCATGGACCCTTTTTCACATTCAGCTTGTCACAACAAGGAGGTCTCACCATTTTATTCTAATCTGCAAATTCATTAATAATGATCATATATATAATTTGAAACCAAACATTACTAAATTTATAAACATAAAACTCAAAAACCCGAAAAACGAAAAGGAGAAAACTTGAGATAGAAGAGAGAGTATTACAGTAAAAATACTGTTTGAAGTTTTGAGTTGTAAATGAGAGTTGAGATGGGTAAGGAAGGGATGATATGAGTTTAAAGGTATGAGAAGTGTGGAGGCAAGAAAAGCATGGGTGTTTGCCATTTAACTAAATGTGCATGATGAGTGACATCTAACTCACATTAGAGATTATATGGATTATGATATATGAGAATTATATTGTTAATTTGGTATGTTTGCTAATCCTACTTTGCACATAGAAATTTGGCTCCAAGAGCATTTTGATCAGGTTCAAATTGGGTGAAGTTTTTAGTTAAACTAATTAAAGTTGACATTAGTTTGTGGTGCAAAAGAAAATGATTTTGTTTATTTTTTATTTTTTGTATGACAAATCACAAGTTTGACGAGAATAATTATTTTAAATAAAGAAAATATATTAATTAATAATGAAATAATGGACGACAAATTATCATTTGTACTTGCAGAACTATTTATCTGTATGATCTGTTTTATAAATTAAGGTTGTTTAGTTAGCAATTCAGTATTATACATATAGATGTATATATACATGTTTTCATTTTTTTAGGAAATAAACGTAACTTGGCAGCCTGGGTTATAATCAGAACTAGTTCCTCATTCTCCGACGTTTGTTTTCGGTACATCATCGTCAACAGCGAAGTCCACCCTTTCGATTTTTTCACAGTTTCTCATTCCTGTAATGGAGAATATTTAGCAGGCGCATGCAAACGTCGGCCTCGTTAACTGAATCAAAGTCTCCTCTGCCATTGACACCAGAACTTCCCCCATCTCTTTTCCACCATCAAAGGTTTCGTTCAAGGACAATTTCTGCCAATTCTTGACCCACTCGTTCGTTTTCTCGTCAACAATCGATCGTTGTTGCGAGTTAATATATATCCTTCAGTTTTATTAACAACATTAGAGATATTCGTCTTGATTTCACGCTCTTCATGGCCACAATCGTAGTCTTTAATGACCCGCCGTTGAACTACCAGAGTCTGTTCGATGCGATTCATGACTCTGTGTTGGCGACACTTGAGAAGATTGGTGGAGGGTCGCTAGAGATTGTGGTGTCGGAGAGTGGTTGGCAATCGGCCGGTGGGACCGTGACGAGCATCGACAACGCGAGAACTTATAACAACAATTTGATTCAGCATGTGAAGTAAGGAACGCCTAAGAGGTCAAGGCTGACAGAGACTTATATTTTCACTATATTTGATAAAAATCGAAAAAATCTTGAACTTCATAAGTTCTTTGGGCTCTTCGCGCCAAACAAGTAGCTTAAATATCCAATCAACTTCAACTGATTATTGTCACCATCCATAGATACCCATGTATTACTAAATCCAAAATAAAAATTTACTCACTGTACTGTAATTTTGTTGAGAAAAAATAATCAATAATTTTTTTAAAAAAAATAGCAAAATAAAAGCATTAATAAAAGTTTTTCCTAGAAGATTTATACAGTTTGTTAATGCATTATTTTTATATGTAATAAATGTAGCGCCAAGGAAATTGAAGAAAAAAAAAACGCGCGCGCCACGTCAGCAGACCCAGTCAGCAGTCCTAGCCAACCAGGACCTGCCACGTGGCAAAACCCCGTCAACTGGGGACGGGCCACATTGGCGATCCGCGTGCGCGCGATCGGACGGCCCGGATCAATCGCGCGCACGGACGGCCCAGATTTAATCGTACGGACGACCCAGATTTAATCAAAAACGGACGGCCCAGATTAAAACAAAATAGACGGCTGAGATCAAAAGGCAAAATTGTATAAATAAGACCCCCACACCAGACCCCAAACCCTAGCCGCCTGCCCTCGCCGGAGAAGACGAACCAGAAGCCGACCGCCGCCACCCGCCGCCGCATCGGAGGGATTTTCGACCGCTGATTGGGGTAAATTTCATACCCCCGACTCGTTTTTCCACGCTGATTTCCCCAGTGGCCAAATCGGAAACAAAATCCTGGCCAAACGGCCGGAAGACACGGTCGAAAGCCAGCGGCACCGCCGCGCCCCTCCTCGGTTTTTGCCTCCGATGAGGCCCTTCCCGGCCTCCGTTTAATGCAATTTTTATATCACCGTGATCACCATTCTTTTCTCTACAGGTTGGTTGGAGCCGAATCACAAAAACACGAACTTCACCGAAGAGCCGCCGCCGGTAAGCTTCGGTTTTCCGTAAATTTTCGGCCCCCCGAGGGCCGTAGGGTTGTTTTATCGCAGGAACCAATGCGAGTGTGGCCGAATTCGGCCAGAAACGGCCGAAAACGGCCAACCCGAGGTGAACCGCCGCCGCAAGCGGCGGCGCCGTTGCCGGAGCACGGCGGAGCCGCCGTGCCGGAGTTGCGATATTGGCCGAAAGGGGCCCTGGGCCTAATTTGGGATTTTTTTGGAACACGTGCAGGTACCAGTAGTGCGTTTCAGTTCCCCGGGAAAAATTCAGGGGAAATTAGGGACAGCCTGCAAGCGCACTGTGAAGACGTGTTCGGACCCCGAAACGAGTAAGGACCCCTCACCCTATTTCCTATCACGGTCTTAAAGTTCAATAAATGATAAAACGGTATTTCATGAATAAACGAATGTGTGAAATTGCTTAAGGTTGCTAATGGAGCCCGAGTCTAGTGTGTTTGTCGGTTAACTGTTATTTGGCCTGTTTTGCAGTCTTAAATGCAGCATGAGGTTTGATATTTTTATTTTATAGTTTCGTGTGCATATTTTACTATTTTACTGATTATGGATTGAATGATTGGGATATTGATACTGTATGTTGTCTGTTTGGCATAAATTATCGTCTTGCTTGTTTGTATGTGTATTGATAATGCTGACTGAGGAAAAAAGAGAATGAAAGATTATGTAAATGGGTAATTGTATAATGTGGTCAGCTTGACTAGATATCCTGGGAGATGGTGGACGGACCGGGTCCGTAGGGAACCCTACCGGGATTGTGGTCTCCCATACCGGACGGGGTATGGAGATCTTATGTATTTTGGCGCCCATACCGGACGGGGTATGGGGACGGCCCGTTTCACCCTCATACCGGACGGGGTAATAAGGTTTATGGTTTTGGTGCCCATACCGGACGGGGTATGGGGACAACCCGTTTCACCCTCATACCGGACGGGGTAATGAGGTTTATAGTTTTGGCGCCCATACCGGACGGGGTATGGGGACGGCCCTGGAATATGATTTCAAGTGTTAAGGGTTAACGGGTAGCGGGACCCCTATGGATCCCCATGGATACTAGTGGGCTGGTAAATGAGGAAAATATGTTGTGTAACGATTGAATTACGAAAGGCTTGATAAGTATTACGTTATACAGTTTATATATGATTCCATGATGATGATGATGTTATTGCTTTCGTACACTGTTTTTGGATTCTATCGAGGTAAGTGAATGGTAAAGGTTTTATTATTAATTAAAGGATTTGTTGTAAATTATGCTCCATTGGTCTTTTTGTGTTTTCTACCCACCTTTACCTCCGTGACGGTGAGATATCGTGATGTCTTTACTGGGCTAGTGTAGCTCATTCCTTATTTAATCATTTCAGATCAAGAGGACATAGTTCCCGAGCTGGTTCCGCAGGAGGACGACGAAGGGGACGCCTAAAGACTCCATAGTCATATTCGTAGCTTTTACTTTCAAGTTTCTCCTTTAGGTAGTTTGATCTTTTATATTTTGTGAGCACGTTTTTGATTTTAGTGTAAGGGATGTTATTCAAATTTTGAATTCGCTTCCGCATTTGATATTTTTAATATACATTCCATTTTAAATTTCCGGGGTTGTTACAGTTGGTATCAGAGCCGCATTTCCTCAGACCCATCCCTTACACAATAGTGCTTTAGAGAAATACTCACCGATATATCGTTACTCAATCATTACTTGTGAATGCAGGTACACGGGAATGAGGAGAGGAAGGCCCCCACTAAACTGAGCGGCCCTAGATAATTCACTTCGGGAGGATTTAGATAGACTATTCGAGATGGTGGAGGCTCTCGCAGCTGCCCAGCGAAGGCAAGAGGAGAGAAGGGAGTTACCGGGACCTCCTCCGCTAGCGTAGGTTGAGCCCCCGCTACAGCAGGCTGATCCCGAGCCACCCCGGCAGGAGCCTGTTCCTCCACAGTACCACCCGGCACCACAGCTGCGGTACGACCCGGTACCACAGCCACAGTACCAACAGGTGCCGCCACAGCACATTCCAGTGCCCCCACCACATCAGCAGGCGCTACCACAGGGTCCCCCAGTTCACCCTCAGCCGACCCCAGTCCCTCTACCTCGGGACCCCGCTCCTTCCTTGATCGACCCCGGCTTCATAGAGAGGTACAGAAGACTGAATCCTTCTACTTTTTCAGGGGGATCCTCTTTCGAAGAGGCCCAATACTAGCTGGCAGAGACTGAGAGAGCTTTCGAGACCTTGGGAGTAGTTCCTGAGCAGAGGGCTGCCATTGCCTCCTACATGCTGGTAGGGGAAGCAGTACGCTGGTGGGAGCTCAAGCGGGCCACCTTGCCTGCACCAGTTACTTGGGAGCAGTTCCTAGCGGCCTTCCATGCGGAGTATCTCCCTAAACACATCAGACATCTAAAGGAAATGGAATTTGCTCAATTGGTCCAGAAAAATATGACAGTGTCGGAGTATGCCCGTAAGTTCCTAGAGCTGGGCCGACATGCCCCGGAGACATTGTTGGATGAGGGCCGAAAGGCCAGAAAATTCCAGTGGGGTCTCCGCCCGGAGATCAGACAGCACTTACTGGTGATGGAGCTCGAGACATATTCGGCAGTCCTGGCAAAGGTGCAGATCATAGAAAGGAGCTTCGACACCCGCCCTCAGCTAGTGGGAAGTTCCCGACCCTCAGCCCCGCTCCGCAGGCCAGCGCCTACTATGCCTGTCCAACCCAGTAAGAAGCCCAGACCCGCCGTCCAGGCCCTCCTCAGGCTACGGGGGCAGCACGTGGGAAGATCTACCAGTACTGCGGCAGGGATCATGGGGACCGACCCTGCTACCGCCTCAACAACACCTGTCGCATATGCGG